TTACACTGGGATTTTGTAGAATTTTCACTAAAGATATGGCTAGTTACACTCATTATGAGAGTGGATACCGACACATTGTACTTTGAGGACCTGATATTTCCAAATTACACTTTAATCATTATGATTCCAAAAATTGTTATAGTAAGACAAGACGGTCTACATCTACAAATCACTAAGCATGCTAAACTCCTTCATCAAACGAAAACGAAAGTACGCGTAAGGCCCATTATCAATAACAACATAGCGCATCCATTGTAAGCCAAGTCAAGCCGGGTCAAGAAAAACGACTGCCTAAACTCCAATAACCAAAAGCCTGTTCCTCATCGGAACTTGCTGAAGATGACCGCAATAATAAGAATAACCAAAACAGTGATGATAGAGATGGTGATTATCCGATTTGTAGCCATCCTGCAATTTCAAAAAATGTCAGCTCTTCCGTAATCTGCCATGACGTCTGTGTGGGCCACTTTACCTACGCGCCATGCCCCTGAGTGTCTTGACGCTCCTGTCCACGTAGCCCTCACTCTCGAGCATTATGCCGCGAGTGTGCTCGATGGTTTCCCGCTGCCTGTTGAGGTCTGCTAGGGTGCCTGCGCCGATTGCTTCGGTCTCATTGGCGAGGGCCTGGCTGGCCTTCAATCGCTGTGTGCTTCGATCAAGGCGGTCTGTCCCCGAGAGCAACTGCTGTCGCTGCTCCATGTGAATGTCTGATGAGCCAGCGGGGTCGTCTGTGTATCGCGATCCGAAGAGTGCTGAGCGATCGGAGGAGAGAGTGGTCAACTTGCGACGAGCGGCATCTGTGTCTGACTCGTAGTTTCGGAAGCGCTGGTTGACCTTGGTGCGAGAGCTGGTAGGGATGTTTTGCTTTTCCAAGCGCATTGCGCTGAGCTGAACGGTGAAAGCGTTAGTATGGACCCGAATACTGGTGGCGATATTGAACACCAGATAGACCTACCTGCTCATCAAGTTCCTCAAGCGCCCGTTCGGCTTGGCTGATAGCGGCCTTTCGAGGCTCACCAGCCAGTTCGGGAATCTGGTCCAGCTTTTGGTTCAGGTCGGCCTGGATGAGTTTGAATTCAGCCTCGTATGAGCTGAAGAGCTCAGAGCCAGCATCGGTATCGAGAGGGTTCGACATCGTGAAAGGAGGCTGGACAATGACAAGAGATCGAGGGATGGGATTGCAAATGCGACTAATTTCTGTCGTGATGGGAGTCGGACGCCGAATTATAGTATTTTTGGGGGGATGTAGTTGAATTCGTGTCGAACGCGCAATATTCGGGTGATGTTGGATCTGAGTGGTTGATGGTTTGACGTTCTCGTCAGCGTTCCAGGTTCGGCAGGTCGAGTGCTGAGTGCCTGGTCGTTTGCGTAAGGTATGAGAGGCCAAGTGACCAATGAACGCAGCACGCCATGCTGCACGTGATATGGTGGTCTGTGCACGATTGAATCTGGAGCAGTATATCACTGAGAGTTACCGATGAAATTTTGGGCTTTTTCTTCTTTTTTTTTTCCTTCATAGAAAGTTGAATACCCCGGATTGCGAAGAAAAAGCGGCTCAGCGCCACGACCTCGGTCAATGGCGTCGGGTTGAAACAAACTGGGCAGACGAAGGCGGGTTTATCCTGCACGGCGCTTTTAAGAATTGGTGACTCGAATTACCGTTTACCAGTCCCGTTGAGTGTTCGACATACCACCATTCATTCCTCGAAGTCTTTGATAAAAGATTGCATAATGAAATAGCGGTCTTGAAAATGTATCGCATGTGAAAATGATGTGATGTTCCAGATCAGCTATCATGCTGCCAGACTCGGCGTGGTGTAGAGTTTTCTTCTGCGCTGAGATTTTCAGATCTTCAGGCTACTGATGGGGAAAAACCCTGAAACGGCATTTCAGCCAAGCCACATCCAGGATATTGGTTAAGATGTGGCAGGCTGCATAACCCGTGAGGTTACAGTGCAGCCACAGCAGCATAGCATGAACCACGCACCTGAGCTATCGGAGAATGCTTGCAGGTCCTTTACAAGGTCTGTAGTCTGTACCTAGTCGAGTCAACTTCGGTTTCGAGCTCCGTCCGTGTTCGTTAGTTACCTAGTGGGTCATAAGCTCAATGTTGGGACGGGATAATCATCGATGTCATTTCTCGGAACCCCCAGCAAAAATAGCTAGAAGCTCGACCATTCATCTCCCGGTGACTCCCACCCATCCATTCTCCGTCCGCAAACCAAACTCTCATGTTGTAGATCCCTAGAAAGCCACTGTCTCTCCTTGAAAACAGAAGCAAGCAAGGCATTACACTGCACTGCTACTGGCTCTAATCTGTCCTGTCTCTGTTCTTATCTATTAGTACATCTCGGATACTGTATCCCGCTGCTCGCTAAAGGATGCTGGAGCCACAGCACATGTAAGTCCTTGTCTCGTCATGGTGACTGACCTCCACTATTCTATTGCTTCCGTTGTCCAACCCCCCCCAAAATCTATTCCATTGCCTCGTCATCAAATCAGCTTCGACAACTCACACCGTCTGTGTCCGTGGCTGCGACGATACCGCTATTTATCCAATCATGAATTGATCATTGCCTGAACTGGAGTATTGGGCTTGGCTCTATCACATGCTTTTCTCTTTTGCTGTCTCTGTTTGTTTCTGCTCTCTCAAGATACTAGATATGTCTTGTACACCCTTTTGAATAGAGCAAACCTTCCCTTTCCCTCTCTATTTCCTACACCGACAGTCGATACAATGACCTCCTCGACTGATCGCTTCCGCAGGAAAAGGGTCGCCATTGTCGGCAGCGGCTCTGCTGGAGTGGGCGCTCTGTGGGCCTTGAACAAGACGTATCATGATGTCTACGTCTACGAAGCCTCCGACAGGTTTGGCGGTCATACAAACACTGTCGATTTCAAAAAGGGAAAGTTTTCGACAAAAGTCGACACAGGTTTCCATGTTCTAAACGCCACCACCTACCGTGAGTCTCTATCCCCTTTCTCCAACGGTTAGTCATGCGCTTGGAGCTCACCAAGCTTCTCTTTCTTAGCCAACTTTACCAAGTTCTTGGAAAAGATCAACATCAAGACAACGCCTACAGACCTGACATTCAGTTTATCCCGGGATCGCGGCGCTTTCGAATGGTCAGGTTCCAGTCCAGCCTCATTATTTTGTCAACGAAGAAATTTACTCTCACCGCGAATGTGGCGAATGCTTTTCGACATATTCCGTTTCAACCAATTCGCATTGGATATCTTGAGCGATGACGAAGACGACATATCGAGCATTGAAGTTTTGAATAAAGCGACAAACTGTACCTGCACAGACATCACAATTGGACAATACCTGGAGCTTGAAGGCTACTCAAATGCCTTTAGAGACGATTATCTGCTTCCCTTGGCGGCATCAATATGGAGCACGAGTCCTGATAGGTGCTCACTTGAGTTCCCCGCAGCGACATTCGTGCGTTTCCTGTGAGTTTGGATCTCTAGTGACACTTTACAAACCCAACCCATTCTAACCATGTCTCAGTTGGAATCATCATCTACTAAACACAATAAGAGCTCGCCCTCGATGGCTGACAATAGAGGGCGGTTCCAAATCATATGTCGATGCCGTCATGAAGGGATTCCCTCCCAATCATCTTTTTCTCAAGACACCAGTCAGGCATGTCACAACTGAGAGCAACGGTCAAGTTAGACTGCACCTGGAAAATGGTTCATCAGCTCTGTACGACCACGTCATTCTCGCCACACACGGTGATGAGGCATACGATATTATCAAGTCATCTGCCAGTGAGCAAGAGCGCTCCATCATGTCCAGCTTCAAGACGTCGCAGAACGAAGTCGTTCTCCACTCCGATGTCGATATGATGCCTCGCCGTAAGAAGGCCTGGGCCAGCTGGAATTATCTTGCAGTGTCATCACCGTCTTCACGAAAGGGAAACATCAACCAAGTTTCACTCACCTACAACATGAATATCCTTCAGCACATTCCTCGAAATACATTCGGCGACGTCTTCGTTACTCTGAACCCGCTTCAAAGGCCAAAGCCTACAAAGACGCAGGGACGTTATTACTACTCGCAACCTATATACACCTCATCCGCCGTCCGAGCACAGAAACTTCTAAAACACATCCAAAATACTCGCGGTATTAGTTATGCCGGCGCGTGGACAAAGTACGGTCTTCACGAGGATGGTTTCAGCAGCGGGCTTGAAGTGGCCCAAGAACACTTGGGCGCGAAGCTCCCATTCGAGTTTACCGATTCAACATACAGCCGAGGCAAGGTGCCAAGTCTAAGCCTCATTGACCATCTACTGCGCTTGATCATCTTGGTGATTCAGGTTTTTGTGGTTCAGATCCTTGAACGACTGGTCGGGAGCCGTCCTTCTCCACGTCAACGGCTTGTGGATGGTAACAGGGTGAGATTTGCAAACGGAAAGCATCGATAAAAGTGAATTATACGTCTATTTGGCAGGAGTTCCTTTTTAAGATTGGTAGTTTTCTGGTTTGCAGGCGTGCACTTGAAGTTAAGTTATATAGCATAAAGCGATGAGATTGCATAGGCAGGTTTTACACTGCACGATTATTGAATTCGATATCATTTCTTCTTTCACGCTCTTGATTTTGGCAAACATCACGGGCTATTATGCTCGCAAGTTAGAGCAACATGGCATTTGTTGCAAAGCCAAAGTGTTTCTACTCCACTTCAGGCATCGAAGGTGAGGCCCTCAAACCATGACATTTACATGCCTTCTTCAGTATGACTACGTGGTGATTCGATTTGCGATCTATTATCATGGAGCCCTTATGTTGCATGGAAGTGACGTGTCGTTACAATCAGATACCTACTCAACGCAGATAGGCCACTAAAGAGTTGTGAGATGTGGTAGTCAATATACGCGAGTGACATGGTCAATGGCATTTAAGGATTAGTCCAAAAATCATCATTATTCGCTTGCCTATATACCCAGAATCTGAAGCAAACATCATTACACTTTTAAACGTTGTAACCACTATCGCGAAGGCAAGTTGGACAGTATCGCAATGCCAACACCCAGTAACAACTGCACACCCAAACTCAAGCCCAAGATGAGATGGACATACATCCACTTTGTAATCTGCAACACAACACCATTCTGAGGCTGCATCCCCGGAGCTATTATGCCAGTAGAAGACTGGGCCGTAACAGCTATTACACCAATCGCAAAGGTCGACATCACCTGCCCCATGTCGTCTGTGCTCCCATTCATGGGCTGCCCATACGACGACTCGGCAGGATAGCTCTGGAACTGTCGATCGCTGTCCGTAGGACCTAGCGAAGAGGCTCCGTATCCTTGAAGTGCTATAGCTGAAGTGGCAAGAGATGTGATGTTGGTTCCGATGTAGTGCTCCTTTCGTATAGCGTTGACGACAGGTCCGATACTGACGTTACAGCGGTAGAACCATGCTTGGGAACTTGAGGCTTCAAAGGCTGTGACTTGGCTCCATGTCTGGCCTTGGGGTGCCGCGGCGTTGAACATGAATGTTGTTTGGTTGGCACCGTTTATGGCTGTGATGTTGACTTGTGTCTTCTTGTCGTCGTCGATTGTGATGGTGATTTCGTTTCCGTTGCCTCCCTTTGCGACTTTCCAGCTGCGGCAATCTCCTGTGGCTTCAACGCTCCTGTTGGTGCTCACCACGAGGTCGTAGTTCTTGGGCCGTGAAGTAGATTCTTGGAAGACGTATGTACAAGATTTTCCGCCGCAGAATGCCAAAGGATCGTTGTTGTCCCAGAGTGTTCCAGGTTTAGGAATATCGTCCATGCCTCCCCAGCTCGCTCCAAGGGCGATCGTGCCATAACTAGACATTTTGTCAGTGCTGATGATTCCAGGGCAATCTGGGTGACCTTGGTATACCTGTTTGCAGTGTATCGCAAGGCACCGAGGGCTTGTGAGCTGTTTCGCGACTTGTCAGCGAGAACTCTGTTTGTGACGATGTTGGACATGTCTGGTATTGTGACATTGCCCGGGTGTAGGATTGCGGCCGAGTCTGCCGTGTTTGTTGAGTAGACAAGGCCGAGCATCGCTAGAGCAACCTGGGATATTATGTTGAGTATTATGAAAGCCACAGCGTATGACCGTAGTGAACGTGATTTAGATACCCAGGTGAGTTGGATGATCTTGGTCAAGTCCTTTGCTTTCAATATCAACTCGGTCTACCATGTATTAGTTAGTCAGCGTTCACGATCGATAGATATTCTCAGCATGACCTACCTCTCGATCTGGCCAGTCTCGAAGACTGATAATCCAATATCTAATCTCCACAGCCATTGCCTCTAGAGATATCGTTATGCTCATTCCCAGACCGAGGGAGAGTCCAATGATGAGAGCGTTGAACTCTCGTTTTGTCGTCGTTGACATGATGTCTAGCCTTGAGTAGTACCATAATATCACGTAAATGGCGACAACAAACAGCACTGAAGCGAACCATCTCAGGATGTTGGCAATCAGAGCCTTCCGTAGCTTTTTGGGGCGATTTCGAAGCTTCTCCAAAGCGACTGCTCTGCTAGGTCGTCGATGGTGCAATACTTTATCGGATTGTTGTGGTGAGCCTGGCGTTGGCGTTGAGTTTGACCTGCAGAGAGGATTCGACTCATCTCGTTGGTAGTCATGATGTGGTTGAGTCTGGAACTCTTCTTTTGTTGGTGTATGAAACCTCTCGAGCTCATGAGCCGAGTGTGAATTGTTGTGTCTATGCTGTGCTGTTTGCTCCATGGTCAGTCACCCAAGAGGATATGATAGAGGCAGTCAATCAATGGGAGAGAGACATTGAGATCGAATTCTTTGGTGTTGCACATGGTTTGGGCTTGGCTTTTATTTAAGCTTTTTCGTATCTTGTCTTGTCTTCCGTGGCGGCGGGTCCAAGGCCAAGGCCAAGGCCAATCCAATCCAAGCCATGGTCCATGTATGTACAAGTAAGATTCCATTCCATTAGGAGTCAAGTTGAAACAAACAAGCACCTACCTACCGTACGAACCTTTCCGTCGAGTCCCTCACGCCTCAAGAGTCACTGCCCGTGGGTCTTGGGTCGATACTAAGCTTTTGTTAATAAGATCGATCCGTCCCTTTGGTTCACTTAATTAGTACGGAGCAGGCCAGCTCAGTATCCATCCGTTTACTGTGTAAGTGGTTGTGAAGTGCCACCGCGTAAGTGCAGCCAATAGAATCACTCAATGCGTACTCCCTTTAAACTGACAAAGCCACCAAAGATGGATGGGCTATGGATAAGAGATGATACCATCGCTACTGTATCCGAAAAGAAGCTTTCCAACTGCTGAAGCATAATCGAGGCCTCCTGCTAGCAGCTGTAGCACTGTCGGTGGTGCCGACAGGGCTAATACATGCTGGTGTCTAGAACCTCAAATACGAACGAGCTAATAATGGTAGCCATTGTAGCAGGGATTCAGGGCATGCATGGCCCACGGACACTGCCGAACTTGCTGCTAAAAGGTGATCATGGAAGATCTCAACTACAGGACTAGGAGTACCTTGCCTGAATGGCACGTGCTTCCGAGTGACATACTGTAGTTTCAGGGACCGCAAGCGGATGAATTGTCTTTTTATGGTAGGTAGTTAACCATTCCGTAACCCGTTGAGTAAGCTGAACGCAAACTCCCGGGCCAGTTAACGGCTACACGGCATGGTTCTGTCAATGCACAGGGTATCAGAGGGGAAGTTGCCAAAAAATAATATTCTAAAATAAGGAAAGAAAATGCCTTGTCTATTAAAGTTCAAAACCAGCTATTCGCAACCTCACTTATATCAAGATATCTCATTACCAAAAGATACCGAGTCATTCATCTGTGCTGTAAATTCAAGTTGTTCACTGAGGCCAATAAATAGAAACGAGTGACAATTTAGTAGAAATACCTCAACGGATATCATATGCGATATACGAAATTAACCAATTACCAAACATGCCAAAACTTCATGATCAAATCGGAGTTTTTCCACACCTAGGGTAGCTCACTTCCCACTATCGGCATTGCAGATCCCGATCCCCGACGTCAGCAAGAAATCCCCAAACATCAGCCGACTCATTACCTACCTACGCCTCACCACCAACAAAACCACCAATTGGCCCCAAATTGACCATGAATGTAGCCAATCGACTCGCGCGAAGCTCAACCCGGGCGGCTTCTTCACAATGGTCATGTTCCTTCTGCCAGAATGCCCGGCCGAAGCTCCAGCGGAATGCCTTCAACTTTGCCCGCCATGCATCGAATAACGCCCGCACGGGACAGCCCTATACACCTACGATGGACGAGATTCGTGCGCATTATAGCAAGAAAAACAGGACCGTAGCGTACGATTGAATATGGGACTGGAGAGGTCGTTGGCTTACGATTATCAGGTACTATGTCTTGAGTACAATTCTCGGATTTGTTACTCTCACTTATGGCTCTGTGCCCTTGTACAAGATGGTGAGAGCCTCCCTTCTCAATATCGCGATGCTCTTCTAATAAGCTTGAAGATCTGCCAGACTACCGGCTGGGGCGGTCAACCTATACGTGCTCACGGGGGTCCAGGATCAGGTGATGAAGGCGATCTCGCAAGCCGACTCGTGCCCGTCAAAGACGCCAAGCGAATCAAAGTCACTTTCAGTGCCTCTGTATCCGATGTCCTGCCCTGGAAGTTCGTCCCTCAACAGCGAGAAGTGCGAGTTCTCCCCGGCGAGACTGCACTGGCTTTCTACAAAGCCACCAACAAGAGTGACCAGGATATCATCGGAGTTGCTACCTACAGTGTGACACCTGCCCAGTGTGCGCCGTACTTCAGTAAGATCCAGTGTTTCTGCTTCGAGGAGCAGCGCCTCAATGCGGGCGAAACCGTGGACATGCCCGTCTTCTTCTACTTGGATCCTGATCTGCTCAATGATATGAACATGAAGGGCGTAGAGACTGTGACATTAAGTTACACCTTCTTCAGTAAGTTATTCAGGTCATAAGGAAGACAGAAATGCTAACAGCCCTTGTAGAAGCAAGATATGATAACAATGGACGATTTCAGAGACCCATGTCTGCATAGATGGGGCAGATGCGTTGGATCTGATGTACAATACCGCTCCTCTTGTAAAATATATGCATACCATACAGTTATTTCAGACTAGACAGGCATATCTGTGACTTCGAAGACTAGGTATGACTCTGTGTCACACGGATTCAAGTCAATATATCAACGCTTATCTCCAGTCAAGCCTCCTTCTAAGAAACTTCGAATTCTTCTGTATGTGCCATTAGCCTCCGACATCATGCAAATTCTTTTCAACTCATCCATCAACTTGATGCCGATACCTGCAAAGAAAATGGTATTCTAATGCCCCAATGCAGTAAATGCGGCCCGCAACCGCTGACTCAGCCAACTCTCCCGTCCTCCACTTTCAAGCTCAAAAACACCCTGCCTCGTTAACTCGATCACGTGCACGTGAAGGCACTAAAATCCGCACACATTTTCTCGAAATTCTCTTTCGTTTTGTCAATCCGTTCTTCATCACCCAACGCTCAACTAACTCACCAGCGTCGTCCTCGCCAACCACCGACAAAATGGTCAAAGTCAGCACCAGTGAGTTTCCCTACATGCCGATATAGCATTTCATGTTCTTATTCTGACCTCAACTAGACGTTTCGTCTTCTCGACGCAAGAGCCGTGCCGCTCACTTCAAGGCTCCCTCTGACCAGCGCCGTGTCATCATGAGCGCTCCCCTCTCCAAGGAGCTCCGTGAGAAGTACAACGTGAGTCTCAATGGCAGTCGAATCCAAATTTTCACGTCCCTAACATTACCCAGGTCCGCTCCATCCCCATCCGAAAGGACGACGAGGTCACCATTGTCCGTGGTTCCAACAAGGGCCGTGAGGGCAAGATCACCTCCGTGTACCGTCTCAAGTACGTTGTCCACATCGAGCGTATCACCCGCGACAAGGCCAACGGCCAGTCCGTTCCTCTGGGCATCCACCCCTCCAACGTTGTCATCACCAAGCTCAAGCTTGACAAGGACCGTGAGGACATCCTGGCCCGCTCCAAGGTTGGCCGTGAGCTCGCTGCCAACAACAAGGTCACCGCTTAAGCGATGGACTTTGTCGAGCAATAACAAAAACCAAACTACCAAAACTTTCAAGACGACATGATCAAGCCTCTCCTCCCTGGCGAGGACGGATCTTTTTTCTTTTTTCACCACTCACATAATGACGACATCAATGTGAGCAACTCATAAAGGGCAAAGGTTGATGAGGAAATGGGCATTTTACTCCGGCGTTTTTACGATACCTACGTGCTTTCCTTCTAACCGCACGGTACCTGGTCTACAGCAGGGTAGATGAATTGAGAATTTTTAGGGTTCTCAATGGCCATTTCACTCAACTGGTGAAATGCTCCATGGGAGGTTTATCCCGAAGTCTTGACCTGCTCTCCCCACATGCACCGCGAGTCCCCTCGTGATGTGATGTCGGACAGGTGGCTGACCCATCTGTCCTCTCGTAGGATGCTAACACAAACACCATCAGATGCATTCAATTCAATGTCTTGTCTGTCGTAGACTTCAGTTGCACTTAGTTGCCTCTGCCCGGTAAGTCGTAGACTTGACTGCGTCCACCGCTAGGATATCTCCGCGTCAACCACTTAGATCCATGGTTTTCGAGGTATACGTCTAGCGAAGAGTAAACCCGACAGGACCCAACTACTATCATGGGGTCCTGTTCTCCCTAGAAGATTTTCACCGAGTTGCCAATGAGGCTGGAAATTTGAAGGTGAGGTACATGCTTTTGTTTAGCCTCAAGGCAGTTTTTAGTATTATGCTTTCCAATATAATTCTTTTCTCATTCATCATATTTCACCCTTCACTTGTCCCGACGAGTCATTTAGCTACCAGACGTAGAATCCTCACTGGGAGGTGTTCTACCAGGGAGGTTGGGAAACAAGGACCGACCATTAAATTGATGGATCGTCAGCGAATTTTGGTATGTATAAGTCAAACGGGTCAAGACCGTACATCAACCCCCTGAGGGGTTTCTTTCACAGAACCAATGCAAAGAGGAGTCTAATAGCAAGCAAATATTTGTGAGCAAACGTATCTAACATAAGAGTCCTATGAACATAATCCATGCCCCTGGTGAGAATGATCCATCTAGCAGTTATTCTGCACATAAAGGCAAACTTTTTGACGCCTGTCCATGACCCTCGAAATCCTAACATGATTCTAACACTGATGTTGCCTGCACGTCTGTGTGATGAGCGCTTTATCTGATTAAGCGTTGGCCGATTCAACCAAATGCAAAGGCCACCGGCTGTGGTGGACTGTGAGACCACACTTTAACCATAAGTAGCATGTGAACGAAGCTGTGTAGTAAGCAATACAAATTGTAATCATAAGAGCAATGGCTGATGCTTATCGAAAGCAAGGAAGATGCGGCATCATCGAAGGTCCGCGTCCGAGAAATTGGAAAGGTTGTCAAGGAAGAATGTGACAGGGAGGTTGTTCAGCGAGTAGAGAACCCATGGTGGCCCTTGTCCTGAATGCTGACGCCGCGCAGTTGTTGATCAAGAAGTTCAAGGGGCGGTCTGTTCTCTTCACGTCTTCCGACAGTGATGTTTGCTGTTGGAGAAGCGTTCACGTCTCCCAGCTTGGCACTGTTGCCACGAGAGTTGGTCGTAACTGTAGGAGTCAAGGATGCAGTGGCATGCCCGGCGTAATGAGGCAGCACACCTTGGGCAGTCATAGGGGAGACTTGCCCGGCAACTACGTTCGCGCTCGTTTTCCCATTCTTTCGCATCGTGGACCAGATGTCTTTCGGATACTTGCTGCAACGAAGTTAACATCGGACACACTGAGTAATATACTATTAACATACCTCGCATCGCGATCAACTCGGCGCCCTTTGAAGAGAAGATTGCCCTCTTCGTCACCCGAGTCGTCTGAAACTCTAGCACGTAACTTCTCACTCGGGATTCGTGGACGCTCATTGATCGCACGGCGAAATTCCAGGTATCGACTTCCGGAATGAGCAGCGTGGGATTCAGATCGAGGTACCTCAGAGGTTGAACTTGCGTGGAGAGAGTCGTCGGTACGATGTAAAGACTCGGAGCGAGTAGCGTCATCAAGGACGTAACGGGCGGAAGACCTGGTAGCTTCGGGGACAGCATGGAAGGGGTCAACCTCATTGGGCTTCATAGGCGGTGTCTTTGACACATCTGGCCCAGTGGTGTTTTGAGGAACAGACTCATCAGCGCCAACAGGTTCCTCCTTGATAACGCAAGGCGGATAGAAATTCTTGCCGTCATACAGAGGGAGTCCATTCTCGAAGATAAAAGGTGCCCGTCCCCAGTATGTGAATCGAGCGCGCTCCTCCTCTTGTGTCAGCTCGCGGTCGTACACATAATCGGTGTCTCTGGCGTTTTCTGGCCGAACTCCTGGCTTGAGTTTCCCAATGAGATAGGGAGGGCCCATACTCTTGTCAGCATGGAGCTTGTTCCTGAAGAACGTTCGCCAGCCCTCAGCGTTCTTGTACATTCGTTCATACTGCCGCATCTGCACCCCCTCGTCGACTTCTTCCACCTCATCGGGTGCGACAGCAGATGCCGATAGATCTGAGCGCGGCTGGAAGACAGGTGCTAAAGCAGCATGGATAGGAAGGCTGGATGGCTTACGCTGTTGTGCACCGTCATTCTTCGACGCATTGCTGAAGTTCTTGGCCGAAGTGGGTGCTGTGATTTGCAGCCGACTTTGAACACTCGCAATTTGTGGAACAGTGCCGCCAGTCTTGTCGACTATCGATCTACTCCCGAAACCGGAGGGGTGCACCGAATTGGCAGCGTTTGTGCCGTCAGACTCACTGTTGCTATTGCCGTAGTCATTAGATGAGTTGGAAAGGGGTCCGTTAGGAGACCCGACCTGTGGTGGATACTTCCTGGTCTCGAACTCAAGCTGAGTCGCCAGCATGCGCTCGAAATGCTCAATCTCTCGGCAAATGTTCTCAAGCTGCTCTTCCATGTCTCGAGCATCGATCTGGTGCTTGTTATACCGAAGTTGGTCTTCGTGGTAGCGTTTTTGACTGCGAAGAACCTCAAGCTGCTTCTGGGTAATCGAGCTCGGACGAATTGAAGACACGGGAGGACTAGCGGAACGCGAAAGATCATTCTGTAAGCGAAGAGGCAATGGCTCAGGCTGTCGTGAAGATGGGCGGCCATATCTAGCAGAAGCTGCATTGAAATCACCACTGGGGCGAGGAGCCGATGGACTGGGGACAACAGGGGGTGCAAAGTTCATCTGAGGCGGCATGCTGATAGGGTATAGAACGCCTCCATTTGCGATCCACCACTGTCCATTGCAGAGAAATGGGCGGGAGTTATCGAACTGATCGGCAGGAGAGAGGTGAATGTTTCGTGCCTGTTCCATACCCGCGTCCGGAAGCTTGCCATAAGGACCAGCTTGACTCGGGAGCTGCATTGGGAGACCAGGGGTAGGAAACTGATTGTACGGAACAGGAGCCAAGTTATAACCCATAGGAGGAGGCATAAAAGGGATCCCTTCAGGTCGAAGTGCCATTCCCGGTAAAGTTCCTGGAGCATGTGGAGGAACCATGGGAGCAAAGTGGCCCCAGCTAGGAGGGAGAACAGGATAGGCAACGCCCTCAGGTTGATTGCCATTCATGTTACGAGCCTGGCTCTGCCCATCGATAGAGCTTCGCTCGCGGCTCCATTTTGATGTAGGAGAGTGCGGCCCTCGAGTGTTGGGCACGATTCGGCCACCAGCAGTGACGCGGACATGGGTAGGGGAAACAACAGAGTTGTAAAACTTCTGAAAGCCTTCGGATTTCTGGGTTGCAAGATCTGCTGGAGCAACAGTCGGCGCCCGATCAAGCTCAGAATCACTCCGGCCTCGGTACTTGCGATCCGAGTCGGTGCCGTCAAGCTGCTGCGCAGGACGTCGATGCATCTCGTCAGCGTGGCTGGAGTTACCCTCTTCGATGATAAGGGACAACGATGGACTGATCACGAAAGGAGTTCGGATGATGTCTTCTGCTTAATGTTAGATTCGATGTTCGTGTTGTGGGTGTAAAAGGAGACTGGAAACGCACCTAATTCTCTGTCTTCCAAGACCTTGGAGACGAGTTTGTTGGAGATCTCTTGTTGGGGAGGCTTGTGACGCAGACGCAACAATTCACGAGCAGTGTAGACAATGTGTCTCATCTTGGAAGGGTCCAAGTAAAAAGACAGCAACCAGCTGCGATGGAAGCATCCAGTTAGCAAAATTCCATGTACACATGTGGGAAGCCAATGCCAAATCTCCCTGCACCAAAATGGAGAGAGCTTTTAACGATAATAAGGGACATGCAAGCCACGATATTGTCGTTGGATGAAAAGGGTTGAATCGATGAAGATGACAAGCCAGAGGCGATCCAACAAGTGCAGTAGTAGCTGGGAGACTTTCCAGTGTGCTGGATACTGGAGCAGCCCACAAAGCAATGCTCTCCCGCCAGTGCACAGGGACCGGCAGCGAAAAGGTCTGCACAGGGGAAGAAAAAGGAGGAAGCTCGAACTTACTTGATATGTACTGACAGCTAAAAAGCAAACAGTAGATGATACAAACAGAACAGTGCCCTTTGTTACTAGGCGTCCAACTTGAATGACAATGTCTTGATGTGAATGCCAGGTAGTGAACGTTTTCTGACAAAGACTGACAATGAGAGCAACAGCGTGTGGTCGTGAGCGAAAGCAGGGGTCAATACTCGTTGAATAGAGAGGGGATGGTGGAAGCGGAAAGGTTTGATGATCTTGTGTGTTTCTAAAGTCTTGAGGTGACGTTAAAGGTGCAGGAGGTAAGATAGAAGGATTTCGCCGGCCGGTGGAAGGAGCTCCTTCCACTCTCCGAAGAGAGGAGCGACCTGGTAGTGAGGTAAGTGGCACAGAAGCCGCGATGAAGTAATGTCGTGGTGTCCTAGTGAGTGATGTCTATTTGCGAGTAAATGTTAGAGTATGCACAGGAAAGAAGGCTGCGGAGAGAAGAGAAGGAAAGGAGCCAACGGGCACGCCTGACATTCGAGTGAATGCGAAGGCAAGAACGCGGTGGCTACTCCACGAATGGGGATGATGGAGAGTGGGGACATGGAAGAGAAGGAAGAGAACAAGGATAGGAAGTTATTCGGAAAAGGAAATACACCAAGGGAATACTCACATCGAGGGTGGTGATGATGTTGTTGAAGATGAGATGTGCTGAGAGATGGAAGGGGAGAGTGGAGAGGAAGGAAATGGCCACGGGCAGAGGTGGAGATGAGAAGAGACCTAGTGGATTGCAACGCACAGCATAAAATTAAAACCTCTTTAATGGTCTCTGAGAATGCTTTGCTCAGTGCCAGGAGATGATATCCCTGGGGAAGAAATAGAGCATACTGTGAAGAACTCGAGGTGATTACAAGAGAGACTGCAGGGGGGGGGGGGCATTCACACAATGTAGATACTACAATCAGTGAGTCGATGTCACATCTAGCTAGTTGCGATGATGGATACAAGACTGGTTGCTTTAATTGTAGGAATAAGTTCCTCTCGATGCAATGCAATACATGAATAGGTCAGGGGGCACTAGCGTTTGCACGAGAAGTCCTTCACCGGCTCCCTAGCCTGCAAACACTGAAGTGATCTCTGAATTTCAAGACACGCTATTGTTATGAATGCGAACCAGCGGCATGGGCAAGAGATGGAAGTCATGATTTAGGCATATCTACTGAAACTTGGCTGCTAGTGCATGCCCTGTGATACGTCTGGACTCAGGCGTAGTGCAAAGTGGAGACCGCTGTCTGGACGATGGGCTTCTGCAACCAAGACCATAACAGTTCTAGACTCACAATAGTCCAATCATGCGTCTTCTGAAAGTTGTGAATGGCTTCGTCCTGCGGAACTCTTGTTGTTATCAGGGAGTGCCTGTCACCCATCCTGACAAATAAAGTTGAAACAAAAGTAGTGTTGAAGGATATGCACTTTGCAATCATCGCGAAGAACTTACTTTAATAGAGGCTTCTTCGAGCCACCTCGACAAAACGTTGGGATATTGGTGTCGCTCTCCTTCATCCTCTCTGACATGGATGGGACGAGAGGTGGTGGTTGATGTAAGTTGTAGGGCAGTTGCAGAAGAGTTCACACACGGAGGACAGAAGCCCCTTGAAGTTGGTGGAAAGACACTCAGCAGTTCCCTTCCAGACTTCTAGTTCTCTTGACTTGATCGCAGTGCATTCGTTTTGAAGTGGCAGTATGTGATATTTTGAAAGGGAGAGATGAGTATGTGTTTAAGTGAGGGGTAGCTTGGAAGCGTTTGTCGCAATAATGTAATCTGAAGACACAATAGGAACGGTCATCCGAAACTAAAGAACACACGGTATTCAACCTGTTGATATAGTGTTTTGTTCTAAAATTTTGATGCATTGAGGATGACCTGAGTCGTGAAAATACAATTATTCTGGTCCCCTGACCTGAAGCCTCATTGGCGCTGGCGTGGAGACCATGTCGCTTGGTGACTAGACGTTCAATGCTGGGGAATTGCAAACACGGATTAACTATAGATGATGAACAAACTGCACCATCTCTTGAATGTGGTTCTGCCTACGTTTGTTGAACCGTTGATGCCTATGGCCTTGGTGTTTGCCTTTGCCCCTTCAATGAGAGACTCGGCCGATGCAGCACTTCAAGGTACTTACCTACGATATGAAGCCTCGACCACTAACGTTTGCGGTTTTATTGCTTACATTGGGCACCTATATAACAGAAACTGTCGTTTGCACCTCATGGGAAGATGAGACGAGTTGTACCTCGGCTTAAGGGATGGAGATGCCGGCCCACCACTTCGGCCCGCCCTAGCCATGACCACGGCTCATGAGACCCCCATGCAATGGATGTCAGCTGTCATGCCGAGCTATAGAGAGATGGTCCACAGGAAATATGCCTTTGTCTCTGAATAAGGTGTCTAAGCAAGACCATTGACGCCTATCGATATAGGCTCAATTAGCTACTACACATCCCTCATGATAAGCATATTTTATCCTATTAGCTATCATGAGCTGCTGTGTTACCCCTCCATCTTGTGATGGTCAGCCAATGTACCCCTCCACACCAATATCCCACCGCCGCAAAGTAGTAGGTAGCTTCAACCCCACGGTCCAGGAACAGCCAATCCACTGGGCCTAGATTCATTCCTCTCCGCGTCACGTCACTGCATTCTGTGACACATTCATTGCTGATAGGTCACCCCTGGCCAAGGTCTCATGATACAGACTATCTCATGCCATCTTGACAGTACCTGCGGATAATAACTTGCCGCATTATGTCTCAGTTACAGTTACAGCTCAGTAGACAAAAGAATGAAGCAAGACACTGCCGGTACTCCGAATCTTGGTCCTCCTCGGCCCCATCACTTTACCCCGCCACTACCAAGGGACAAGCGTAGAATATTCAGAGACCAACCGACTTGACGTAGGTGTACCTTAGCTGTGTATGTCTTTGCGGGGCGGGTCAAACAGGGGGCTAGGCATGCTTCGGCGCTGCGGAGGCTCTAAGCTAAACAATTCGCCAGCACGAGCTACTGTACGTATGCGGGCGTATCAGCTGTGAGCAGGTTACTGAGAAACTACTAGGTGCCTTAAATAAGAATGCTTGTATTTCCTTGTGCTCTCGTTCTCGTTTGTACCTTTGTATTAGACTGATCCAAGTTCATCGTTCATCTTTCAGAAGCTACAGGACTAACCTATTACCTACAGCTCCACTTAGACCGAGGTCTCACTAACGCTGCGTCTCCAAAACATCATCCTGCAACAACATCATCATATAACTTCTATTGTAAGTCCTCTCAAAAATATCCCTCACATCTCATTCTAACTTACACATTCAGATATTGAACTCATACTCAAGCCTCACCCGCTACCAAACCACCAACCATGGCTCCTCTCACCCCCCACTGGCATCAGCCCTCTCACCCCGACATCCAAGAAGTCGTCATCGTGAACCCCGAGGAATTCACCACCAAGAGCATCTCGCGCGTCTCTCTCCCGCCCTTCGCAGTTTTCGCAAAGTTCGACTTCCCTCCCTGCACGCCCGCCAGCGAACCGACCTACGCTACCGTTCAGACTGGCCGCGACACTCATCTCAACTTGAACAGCGACTTGTTGTACATTAACCACTCTTGCGAACCTACTCTCGTTAGTTGACCTACTTGAAGGAGAAGCCCCAGATGTTGAAGTGCCCCCATCCTTCAGAGAGGGTCAATGTGATTAACGCGAGGGTATAGCTCTTTGATGTAGGAAACTTGAACATTCTTGTTGGACCCAAGGGTCTCAAGGTTGGCGATGAGCTCACAGTTCGTTATCTTCACCCCTCGAATCTCATGTCCAATGGCTCACAACATGTCTAGTTCTTCTATCCCTCCACCGAATGGCATATGGCCCAGCCCTTCGACTGTCTTTGCGGCACCCCCTCTTGCCGCGGCCGAATCTCCGGTGCTCGCGACATGACCCAAGCCCAGCTCGACGGTATCTGGCTCAACGGTCACATCATCCAGCTCCGCGCTGAGCAGCTCGCCCGCTCCGAGGATCCCACTGCAACCGCCCTCCGCGACGCCGTTGTCCACGCTGAGAAGGTCCTTGAATCGGCTCGACTTGCTCTTCGTTCTTACACGAGCAACGCCCACGCCCAGAACGGAAATGGCACTTATCCTTCCAAGTACACCAACGGAACTCTTGGAAAGGCAGCTGCTCTGGAGCATCGCGGCCCGACCTCTCGTGAGCTGAGCGGTGAGATGGGTGGTGATACTGTCCGCGTTTAGGGGCCAGGGCCTTCGATGGCGGCAACTGGAAGATGTTGCTGCTGTTGAAGAACCCATTGGTATCAGATAAGTAGGTAGTTAGCTCACACAGACACATTCGTTTTATGATTGACGTGCCGAGTCTCCTTTCGCGGCGGGTGGTGAAAGCTTCGTTCTTGAATTCATGAGTGACTCTCCTAATCTGCCAAAGCCCCTGGTCATCTCTACTCCAGTCCAATGACAAGCCTCCCTACTCAACATTCCCTCAAGGCACCACTGCTCAATTGTCATTACCATAATCCCGTGATACATACGCCCAGAACGCCCGAGTCCATTCGCCGCAAACCAAATATGTTGTCGAGGAGTTATGGAGTGTCGAATCTCGAGGATCGCCAAACCTTACTCTCGCTCTTTCGAATCCTTCCAACGACTCCAAGCATTGCGTCCCTTCTCAGAGCCAGCACCGCCGCTATACTTGGATTCTTGTTTCTCCCACTCAATCCGTTCCATGCTGCGACGGGCGAGGAAAGCGCGAGCGAACTTCCAGGCTTCTGTGTCTGCTAAGCTCCAAGCCTCGAGCGATGCTCGTAGTCGAGTATCGACGGTGGATTTCTTGAACGCAACAATCTTCTTGGCATGCTCCAGGAGGCCCTTTTCTTTGGCCTGCATTTCCTTCGGTGTGAGTACCTTCTCCTTTGGGGTATCCTCTGGTCGAGGCTGAGGCTTTTCAGGCCTTGTGTCGACATCAGCCTTCGCGGCACGCTCGACCTTTACTGGTTTATCAGTCATGGCCTTTCCTGGCATGGGCCCTTGCTCGATTTTGCCGTTCATGGCCATATATGTCTCTCCTAAGCCCTTGGGAATACGAAACCCAAAGTACCACTCCAGATCTGGAGGAACATCAGCTTCAGCCGACAGCCACAGTGCATGGGCCGGGGCGTGTTCGCCGGCCACAGCCTGCTTGAAGTGCATGATTCTGGAATTGCTGGAGATCTTAGAGCCCAAAAGCACTTTTGTGATAGTCTCAAGCCAAGGGTCTCGAGGTGCCTCCTTTCGGATCCAACTGACGTCCACCCTCTCCTTGAGGCTTGTCAAAGTCGCAAGTGTCCAAGGATGAGGGACTGTCCCAATTGCAAATGCACCACTCGTATTCTGATATTGCTCAGGGGTAATGACCTTCATAGATGTGGTGCCAGCGGCACAGTGTGCGCAGCTTGAAATGCCAGGAGGGCATGATGACGGGATGGGGTTGTCTGGGCAGAAGGCTAGGGAGTCGGCAAGCTTCAAGGCCGGGGTGACCATCTCGGTAGTGTGCTCAGGAAAGGGCTTGAGGACCTCGATGCCCTCGGGGAAGCTACTCTGCCATACAGCGTGAAGATGGGCGTTGATCAGCCGATTGAGTGCTCCTAACCCTCTTGCCCTTCCATTAGTGATACTGTCATGGACCTTGGGGTATTGCTTTTTGATGGTCTCTGGGCTATAATGAACTAGTGCAGTTTGTGCTTTGTCGACCTTGAAGTCATTCTTTGTTGATGCATCAATAACAGTTTTAGCAGCTTTCAGCGTGGGCGAGTCCATTACTTTCCGGATAGTCTTTGTGACTTCTTCCTTGGGGCCTACAAAGAGTGCACTTTCGAGGCCTTTCCACCTGGTCATGGCAGGATATTCTCCCCTTCGGAGGAAAACCAAGAGAGGATCCTCAGTGTGTGCAATTGGGAGCAGTGTATAATCCACCAGCATGCCAGTGCCCATAGATTGCCAAGCGAGCCATCTCATGAGGTCGGCTTTTAGTTCGGGCTGAACCTCAAGCCGTTGAAGTTCCTGGTACATCGGATTTCCAGTCGCCTCGGACGATCCCAAAATGGTTGGTCGGAAACCTTGAGCCCACCAAGCGCGACGCCACGTTAGAAGAAGATCGCTGTCAGCATCTTTTTCTTCTCTCGATTTCTTGACTGTTGCGTCGTAGTAGCAATAAATGAATGGGCGATCCTGGAGCGGAGGAAGCAGTGCTCTATCCTCATCAAGGGTAAGGGAGCTGGAGAATGGCACAGATAACCACTTCCAATCAGCCCACCAAGAAGTACCTTGGTATGAATCTTGTGCTCGAGTCGGTGGTGGATGGGCAGGGCCACGGAACGGATTCAGCTCTGTCACGCCTTTTTTGAGCGAGTGGCGGATGCCGTCGACAGAAGTCTTGATCTTGCTAGAAGCATCTGCTTTCGCGGCATCTTCGGCAACATCGGTTTGGGCGGCATTTTGAGACAGTAGGGTCAAGGTTGAATAGGCGAAGACAATGAGGACGAGAACGAGATAGGTCAAGCGACGAGGCAGGAAGCGGCGCTGTCTGCCATAAAAGATGTTTATCGCCATTGGGTCAATTGGACAATGAGGCAGTCGGTTATCACGGATGAATCTGGTGGGATGTGTTTGCTGTTGATGTACGATGAAACGAAGGGCAGCGAACTTGAATTGGTCTAGACACGCCAATTCTCACGGTCAAAGAAGCATTTCGATGATGTTATAGGAAGCGAGAGGACACAACATGCACATGTGACTGTGTAGAGGATGAAGTAGAGTAGAGTAGAGTAGAGTTATTTGTTGTCGTAAAATGAGGGAGGGGAAGGGAACGTCAAATACGAGAATTGCTGACAGAGGCAGCAGCCCATCCCGAATAGTGTAGTACTGAGGTGTGATTCCCTTTGTGGCAGGGGTTCCATGGCAAGGGTCCATAGGTGAGACGAGCGAGAGTCGCGCGATAAGACATGGCAAAGTCTCATCAATAATACCAATTAATTAGCGAAGGCGTCGATTCGATTGCCAATCGATCTACGCTAATACATTTTATAGATTTGTGTACCTGTTTAAGATTGTATAACCATTCACTTGGAGATAAAGTCACCAAACTCATATAAGCCATCTATCTACTCCACACCAGGGTCGTCGTCACCTGGAGCTTGAGTGGATACAGGTACCTACTTTGGTGAAAGAATACAGCCGGAATAGAACTCTGAGTGCTTTGACCTTTACTTTCTTTGCAACACGAACATAAACAATTATCTTCCAGCCTACCGTTGTTAGACTACATGGACTTGATTGAGCAGCAGAGTACTACCTAGGTTAACCTATAGGAGAAAAGAGCTTGATTAAGCTGGAGTGGGTTCTAGATTCTAGTTGGATCCACCGAAACTTTAGCTCTCCGCTTTCCAGATCTTCAGTACCTAATAAGTCGAGGATCAGAAAGGCAAACATCAAGGTATACAGGTCAGTAAATGATCAAAGGGCAATTCAATTAATGCAGGCATGTATCTATCGTACTCATATAAATTTACACAGACTGTACGATATTATCACATAACCCAGGCTATGGGCCCTGGAGAGCCGTAGTTATCTTATCTGCCAGCATAGGTAGTTCAAAGCCATTGCCATAAATGTCCACTGCTCTAGACGTCATTGGTAAGGCTGAGCAGGGGGGGATCTTAGTTACCTGTCTAAACTAGACCCAGGTCCATATAATTGATGAATGGATATGAATACCATCCGCAATGTCATACGATGTAAGCGTTCGTGCACCTAGTTAAAGACGGGAATAAAATTAAGTGAATTTATCCATCAAACACCCTTCGTATCACTGCTAGGTACCTACCTGATATTGCGGCCAATCCTTTGAGCAGAAAAATGGCCTTTCTCTCATTGGCCCCATCACTTTAGAGTCTTTGAATGACTAAGGTGGCAGTGGCAGTGACAGTGACAGGCAGCAACAGCCCTATTACCACCGGACTTCTCTTTCACGCTCTCGAATGCAGGTATGTACTTGCGTGACACAGACTTTCAATCACAGTCAACTATGACTGGAACATTAAATAAACAAACGTTCATTCCCAGAACCTTTCGGATTTTGGCACAAGGTCATCCATCTTTTCTTTTCTTTTCCCCAGAACCCCTCTCCCTCAAACTTCCCTTCTTCCCCCCTTCAACAACAATAGAAAAGGGTTCATGGGTCTCAAGCAATTCAATCTCGACCTCAGGGTCGCGATAGAAGCTCTTGATAGCTTCCCCAACGTTTCAAATCTGCGCAAGGGCGATTCCGACGGAGAGATCGCTTTCACTTATACGCCCGAAGCAGAACACGAAGCCGAACTACCCCCCATCGATGTCCAAGCCCTATCAAAGGATGCAGACTCGTACCCAAAGCATCCGGGCTTCATGATCTTCACTTCCTCAGAAAAACCAACAGACCTAGAGAAGTGGTTGGAAGAGACCTCTAGCTTGACCGATGGCATGACTATCGCCGATGCCATCACATTGATTTCTAACATGCTAGCTACAAAGCTGAGCACTTCCAATCAGTCAACTTCACAGACACCGCCCTATTACGGCGAAGAATCAGACGTCGATGTACCCTCCGATGACGATGACTCCTTCTACGAAGCCGAGTTTGAGGAGATAGATATCGACCCGTTACTACCTGGCGCATCTGCCTCGGAGAACGCCACTGAAGCCGAAGATCCAGAATCAATGACACGTCTGAAGCGTCACCTGAGAGAAGCCAAACAAGAGGGATTCTGCATCTCCATCCCCTCTGAAGAGATACGCCTGTCATCTTTCGGTATCTTCTCGCTCTCTATCCGAGTATGCAAACTTGGAATCCCTGAAGAAGCCCTGGAAGCTTGGGGTATTAAGCCGACAGAATACATTGTCATGCTTTACAAGCTACCATCCACTTATCCTCATGCATTAGACTTCCAGCGTCTTCCTCCCGACCAAACCCGAATGAACTTCAAACTTGGTAAATGCAGCAGTCCGCGGCCAAATTATAAATCCATGAGGCATATGTTCGTAGGAACGGAAGAGCCAGTCATGCCAATAGACACAGACGAAGAGGGAACAGATTCCTTTACTCCGCTCTACGTGTCTTTGTCCCTTGATGCTCTCCTCAACCGTTTCTTTCCAACTCTTTTACGGCTGCGGCGATCAGAAGGAATATCGTGGGATGAAGCACGAGAGCTGGAACACAATTTGAGCCTGGGTCATCATTCTAGAGACATGGTAGACCGCGCTAAAGACATGATTGCCTGTCAGGATCGAGAATCATCTGATGAGCCGTTCGAGTCTGAGTTCCTTAGGCATGATTACCTGTCGAGCAATGCAGACGAGCTCAACATTGTTCTCGTTGCGATGCAATTCGGCCTCCAGAGGTTGATAAAATGCACCAAGTACTGTCTGGTTTGCCATCGAAGGGCAAAAGGAGGGTTTGAGGCCATAAAACCTTTCGTTTGTGAGAATGAGCTTTGTCTCTACCAGTATTTGTCACTGGGTTTCGGCCAGAGCATCGAACACGAGATTATTAACAATCCATACGTGGTCGACCTTCTTGTCAGCTTCTTCTATGCTGCTGTTATCCGCTCTCGTCTCCGCGAGTTTCCCAGAGGACTGGGTCTCAAGTGTCCCTCGTCAGCGTTCACAGCGAGTGCTTCTACGCCGGTCAGCGCTGATGCTTACTTCAACACTGGCCTTTTGAGGTTTGAATCCAAAGACTTTCATACCTATAGAACTATCAAAGCGGGCCATTGGCTGATGCTTTTCGTCCCTGGAGCCAACACGCTGGATTCGCAGACACCAGTCATGAGAACATGTAAGTGAAACCCAAAGCATGCAAAACCATGTCAAGTATCGGCTTGAACAAGAAGACTAATGAGGTGTTCAGATCGCGAGAAGCATATCTGCCATATCGAATCGTGCATCGATACCGACTTCAAATTCAAGGTCATGCATACGTTCACGAGTGTTGACAACATTGGACAGGAAACCCCAGAAAGTTCTGTGAATCAGGTTACTCAACCTACCCCAGGTGGTGTAAAAGTATTGATTCACAGGTATGATCAAGACATCGATGAACTCGAAATTGCGGTTCGTAATGAAGCACTCTACTTCATGACCAGTTGCATCCCACCCGTGCAAACAATGAGACAATACCTCATAGAGGTACCCGGGCGCCGGCTATCTTCCTGGAGAGGAATCGAAGGATCAGCACTCCGTCTGCTGAACTGGATCGTTTCCTCGAATAGGTCACATATTGTAAAAGATAGCCCAGTTCCTGGGGCATCTGCAGCAGAGGAACAAACAGAGAATAGCAGCAGTGGCGGTAGCCTTGTTCGCAGCGCGCACTCCCAGTGGATGCAGTTTCGATTTGCCCAGGGGTCTCCTGAAAAGGAGCACATTTTCTTCGATGAGCTACAGAAAATACCGAGATCTCGAACCGGTAGAACCTACCCAACACTCTTTGCGTGGCATGGAAGCCCTCTTTCCAACTGGCATAGTATCATCCGAACCGGTCTTGACTTTTCGAACACGCTTCATGGGCGCGCCTATGGCAACGGCGTTTATTTGGCAAGAGATTTCGAGACTAGTCGTGCATATTCCAACCGTGATACTATGAAAGCGTGGCCAGGCTCAGCATTGAAGGTCGCGAGTGCTATCAGCATGTGTGAGATCGTCAATAGTCCATCTCAATTTGTGTCAACGAATCCATTTTTCGTCGTCAACAGGATCGATTGGATACAATGCCGCTTTCTCTTTGTTCAAATCCAACTAGGGCAACAAGAATCCTCAATGCCCCTATCCTCTGAAAGACTATTTCCTGATAGGGTGCAGGGCGAGGACTATATCGAACAAGACCCTACCTATCAATTGACTTATGGTCAGCAGCAACGAGTTAATATCCCTCTATCGGCCATACCAAAATATCGCCGACGTGCATTCGGACAAGGCCAGCAGGATGGCACGGGTTCATCCATAGACCATCCTATCGTTCTTGATGATTCGGATTCAAACGGAAGCCCTAATCTCAACGATTCAAATTCTTTGGAAAGCCCAGAGACAAGTGATGATATCGATGTTCTGCTAGCCTCGGATGATGAAGGTGACGATCTTCAGTTGGTGGGAACACGAAAAAGACGGCGGACGTCTACAGACTCGGGTCTGGGTGAAACGCAACGGGGACCTGACGATGTAACACCATTTCAACCAGGTCAACTTGACATTGGTTCCCTTCCTAAGCTCGCTGAGCCTACGTGGGCATCATCGTCAACAGCTGCTCTCCGCGCACTCAATGGCCAGATCAAAGATCTACAAAAGACCCAGTCCAAGACCAAATTGGCCACGCTGGGATGGTACATCGACTTTGACAAGCTGGATAACCTCTTCCATTGGTTCGTCGAGCTTCACAGTTTCGACAGGGACTTACCTCTTGCCAAAGACATGGCCAGCCATGGATGCTCGAGCATCGTGATCGAGCTTCGATTTGGTGCTTCTTTTCCTATATCGCCTCCTTTTGTTCGAGTAGTACGACCTCGCTTTCTGCCTTTTGCTCAAGGAGGTGGAGGTCATGTCACCATTGGCGGCGCTGTATGCTCAGAGCTGCTCACAAACTCAGGCTGGTCGCCGGCTCTTTCATTGGAAAAGGTTTTCCTTGAAGTTAGATTGAATCTTTGCGAAAGGGACCGACCAGCTCGTCTCGAAAGAGTCCATAATATAAGCTTCGGGAACCTGGACTATAGTATGTTTGAGGCTGTGGATGCGTACCGACGAGCGGCTGCAGCCCATGGGTGGCAGATCCCTTCCGATCTTCAGATGTTGCAATCCATGAGTAACATTACTGAGACGTAGTGGAATCAACAAATTGGGGACCCTTTTCTGACAGGTTATAGAGAATGTGCGCCCGCCTTGTCACGAATTACGAGTTATGAGTTCTCTTGTCTTTCCAATGGGGGAGTTAGCTGAGAACCAGGCTTAGGACGTTCAATAAGTAGATTATACAGCAATAAAAGCGATTCTACTATGATATTTTTCTTCACAACTATATGTTCACTTGACTGATGATGGAACTATCTCCTTTTCGTTTGACGATCGACATTCCGGAACAGCATGTGAAGTGACATATTCAACTTTTTTTTCTCTGTATATTTATTTCTTGAACTTTTTGACAGCATCGCCATTTGCAAGGCTAACTGAACCGCCGACCTAGTCTCCTGTCACAGCACAGCAACTAGGCCAGCACCTGTCTACTTTTTGGTTGATCCAAATGTCTACGTTTTGATTTTACTTCTATGCATTTGCAGGACTGGAACGAGAGAACCGAATCTCCGAGAAATGTCCTTTGGTTTATATCTCCAAACATACCACTCTTTCTTCCAACCTCGAAAGGTAGAAAATACAGGTATTACCCCAAGACAGATGTTTAGGAAAGATTGTGTAGAGCAAAGAGAAGAATTAGGTCCCAGGAAAAGGAGAACACGATAGTCCAGGCTAAGGAATAGGTGAAATTGTGCAGCATAGCAGAAAGCAAGTAAACCCGTGCCCCAACCCGCGCTGCAGTCGTTCAACCAAATCCCACCCTCCCATAATCTTCTTCGCACACTGTCGTGTGCTGGCTGGTCCGAGTACCTGATTCATGTTGTTTGATGAGTGTAAATGGGGAAAATTTTAAGAAAAAGAAGAACGCCAGCAAACCAAATCTGGCGGACGGCGAATGCAGTATGATGCAGAAGCTCCCCGGTAAACTCCAAAACGAAAATACCCCATATCATTTCAGCGCGCCGCAACTCGGGATAAATTTTGCGACATCCGCGGCAGAGGGATATCCCCCGTGAAGACACGGGGGTATCCAGTAATCTCAACGTGGTCTTGCTATTTATTCATGAGGAAACGAACCCTCATGTGATTTGAGTAGATGAAATCCTGTTGACAAACCGTAAGTGCGCTTCCAGCAGTTTAGTTGTGCTGGAAAAGGACGCTGATAGACTCGCCGTGATGAACACGACGAATAGCCTCAGCAAAAACGGCCGAGATATCGAGTATCTCAAGCTTGGGGCAAAGACGACGATGCTCGTTTTGAGGAACAGAGTTGGTGACGAGCATCTTGTCAATGGCAGAGGCATTGATACGAGCGATAGCGTCGCCACTGAAGACACCGTGGGTGACGAGGGCATAGACTTGAGTAGCGCCCTCCTTCTTCAGAAGCTTGGCAGCACGCGTGATGGTGTTACCAGTATCGACAATGTCGTCAACTAGAATGCAGATGCGGTTTGACACATCTCCAACTAGCATCATACTGGCGTTGCGATGCTCGGTAAATCGAATGGGCCGTCGCTCCTTTGTAGCAAGACATGAGTTTTCAAAAGCAGCAAAATCAGAATTCTGTGGTATTACCTTGTGAATCAGAGCAAAGTCAGTCTTGAGACTGTCCGCAATCAAAGTAGCTCGCTTTGCACCTCCTGCATCGGGAGACACAATGACCGCGGTGTGGTGGTTAGGAATTTGAGATTGGATGTAGTTCTGGAGTAGCGCCTTTCCGTACAGGTTATCGACAGGAATGTCGAAGAAGCCCTGATACTGAGGATCGTGCAAGTCCATCGTGATGATATGGTCGGCACCGGCGCAGGTGAGCAAGTCGGCAACGAGAGTACCAGCCTGAGCTATCCACTGCTTGTAACCAGGCTTAGGCTGGAAAGCAGAGACATTGGACTGGTTCTCATAGTCGTGGGTCGTGTAGGCTTTCCTCTGGGAAGAGATCGAGTTCTCTGCGTGGTGTCCACGGGCGTCAGAGGTGCTGCTCGAGATGGTGTCTGAGCGGCGAGGAGTGCTGAAGACGCCATTAGTGCCGTTAGCACCATTTGTCGCGGCCTCGTTTGCGAGAGCTGTTTTCGAGAGCTTCTCGGTCAGGTTGTTGACACCATTGGGCAGGCCAGCTGACTTGGGACCACCTGGACGAGGCGTGGCAGGAACACTTTCAAATGTGTAGTCTTTTGAAGAGCCAGAGATCTGCGACAAAGGTGCGCCGGCTTTGTTATAGGGCCAGTCGGGTTGTCGCGAATAAGGGAAGAGTGGGACAACGGCGGTGACTCGTTTCGCAGAGCCGGTCTTGCAGGCTGAGATCATGATACAGAGATCGATGAGGTTGTCGTTGACGTTGCCGGAGCCAGATTGTATGATGTAGACATCTTTGCCGCGAACTGAGTCCTTGATTTCGCAGCGACTCTCGCCGCCAGAGAATTTTCCAAGAATGCGATTGCTTGGGGGAACACCGAGAATGTGGCAGACATTTTCTGTGAGTTGCGGGTGGGAGTTGCCTCCCAGAACAACAATATTGCGCACCATGGTCAAGGTGAAGTTGTGTCGGTTTGTGGTAGAGGTGAAGTTCGCTGTCGGCTAGAAGAGCAAAAAGTTTTGATGCGGCGAAGGACGGAAGCGGAAAACGGATGTGGAGGGGCCCCGAATCGGAGGGGGAATTTTTTTTTTTTTTTTTTTTTTCTTTCTTTCTTCCTTTGAGGGGGAAACGAGACCGAGTCAAGCAAAAGCTTGTAAGCGGTGGAATGAAGTTTCGACAGCGGTTGATGAGACAAGGCAGAGATGGAGAAGACCTGAGACAATCCGAAACAGGTCCGAGTAAGACTGAAGCCAGTCGAGATTGAAATCGAGGCTGGATTGCAGGTTTTCATAAACTGTGTTGACGTCCTAGTAATTGTGAATTTTTTCAAACTCGGGGCCTCTGTCAATGGCAGCCCCGGCTTCTAGGCTACCTAGACGGCAGTGCGTGGAGTGGAGAGCTTGTGGATTGATTTATTTAGCGGAGGTGTGATTGGAAATAGATCGTTCAAGCGTCAAACCGCGCTGCAAGAGTTGGCTAGCCTGGACTGGACTGGCCTGGCCTGGCGAGCAGAGCAGTGTCCGGTGCGGTACGGCACGGCAAGGCAAGGTAATGCAATGTGAAGCCGTGAACGCTGTAGCCGATGCCTAGGTATTATTGACGGAATTGGGGAATTTGGATGGCTGCGTCCTGATAAAACGTTTTGGCGGACCAACAGGGATTCAGGGCCGAAGTTGACGCACAGGAGAGTCGGACAGGGCCAAACCGACGTCACTGTGCTGTGCTGTGCTGTGCTGTGCTGGAGCAGGCGGCTCAGGCTCAGTGTTCAGTGCTCAGAAGCCGGGTGACAGGGCAGAGATCTCCAAGTAAACGGACGGTCTGCCGGTGTCGGACGCAGAATAATTTTTCGAGCAGACGGTATTTACTATTAGGCGCTTGACAATAAAGGAAGCTGGTGTTGATCTCCAAGAAGAAGCTGACGAAGAGAGACTCCCCGAATAACAAAAGCCAAGCGATAATCGACGAAATAATAGTCGAGGATGGCGGGCAGTCGTCCCCGAGTGGAGGAGTGGAGATGATGGGGGAGAGTGGAAGAAGAAGAAGATCACAGACCCATAGTGTGAGATGAGATGAGATGAGATGTTGAATGCTTTTGTAGTAGGTAGGTCGTGAGCAGTTATAACTTTTTTTTTTATGGGAGAGAGTGAAGCTGAGAGACGCTGAGTTTATTATGGCCAAATCAGAAAGTATCCGTCGAGCTCATTGTCAAAGTTGGGCTTGTAAATGGATGAATTATTATGAACGACCCTCCAGCAACCAAAAAGATGATGACATGGTGGCACCCGCCAAAGCTGACACTTTCACAGGGTACACAACGACGACGTCTTGATACTTTCCGATCTGGATATACTATTACCTGATACTTTGCGATATTTCATTGTTTTCTTACAGTTGGTATGGACTATGCCAAGTTCTTGTCTTGGCCATGATATATATGATATTTTCTTCTAATACCTGCCGAAGTAAACAACATTCAACTCCAAAAGCCAGAGCTATCTATCTATACATGGATGACTGGTACCCACCCCCGCCAATTCTCATGTATCCAGGGTACCTTACCTTACCTTACTCTAGAGACGGGGCATTCTGGAACTCCTCCGTTCTGCCATTCAAGAACCCTCATGGGCCATGGATATGAGTATGTATTCCAATCAGGGGTAGTTGTTACATACCGCCATTCCTAACCCCGAACATCCCGTCCTCTTGGTCTTGGTATCAAGTGTATGTGTGCATTGCAGGTGTACTAAGTTAGAGGAAAACTCGGGCCTCCCGCCAGACAACTTTGTCCGTAACGCCGAAAATAAGGTGCCAATAAACTCTTTTGCTTGGACAGTATGACATTGGATGCTCAGCCTGGCAGGGGTTGTCAGTCATTTGATCTGTACCACCCCAAATCATTACAGAAGAAGAACCCTAACAACTAACTATCTTATTCTCTGAAGTTCCGTTCTTCGAGTCAAAAATCACTACTGCTCAAGGTGAGTAGGTAGGTACCTGGCTGTCTTCCCATGTCTAGGTAATTTCACGCCGAGGTATCAACAGACATAACCATTTTCTCAGCCTGGAACCTATCGAGGCTTCTAGCTTGACATGGCCGGCATCGGTCAATCTTTGTTCTGGAACAGTGGCTTGCTTGCTTGCATGCATGGCATGCCTTTTCCAGCGGAGATGCACGCGACCTCCTTCTTCCAACATAGCGGCACGCAAAGAGCTAAGACAGATGATTTGTTCAATTCGACATATTGTCCCGTTCGATAGATGATGCCATTGGGCATCATATGACTCCCTATTGGATCTTGTACATGCATACCTATATCCTCTCTTCCTTAGCGGATATCTCTCGGTTTCTCTGCTAACAATTGAAACCTCTTATTGGTTCGATGTATAATAAGAATTTATTGGACGGAAAAAAGAAAAGAAAGTAAAAGCATAAAGTGATGCACTCTGACGTGTGTGTCCA